CAGCACAGTGCTTCAGACACAGCAAGTGCTTAACAAATGTTTTTAAAATTCATTCATTCTTTCATTCATTAGTGAAGTCGCAAAATAGTAGTAGTAGTAGAAGAAGAAGTAGGTCTCCTGATGTTGGAGTTATTGACCTAGAACCTTTTATAATCTTTAAAAAGCACTGAAGACAAAACATATCTTTAAAGAAAATACATGATGAAGATAATAACAAACTGATCTCTAATGCTCTGTAATGAAGGTGATGGTTTACTTAGAACATAAACTTTAGAACTAGAGGAATCTTAGTGACTGTCTAATTTCACTCTCATTTCAGATGAAGAAATTGAGGACTAAGATGGTGAAGTGTCTGGCAAATGTGACTAATTAATGGCAGAGCAGGGACAGTAGTTCCAGTCTCTTGACTCCAATCCCATAACGGATGTATTGTTTCTCATGGCTGACCCTTGACAAAATTGTGAACAAGGGAAAAGTTTAAGTGTGCTTTGCCTCCAGAGGACCCTGGCTTCCTAGGGCTGACTAGAGACTTCGCCTCATGGGTCTGTCCTTCTTTGGAGCACATGTTGTTAATCTCCACAAGCAACTATTTCCACCTTAAAACTTCTCTGCCTCATTCCTCCAGGACAGTGATTCTATAGGACAGCTACTTTGATCAACTAATTTTCACTAGTAGTGAATGCTAGTAGATTACCTCTCAGGTAAAGTAATAGCAATATTCATGCTAATTGCTTAATTAATTGCTACATTTTTTATAACATTGTATAAGGTTCACAAAATGCTTGTGTAGGTGGAAATGCCAGGCAAGTAATCTTTAACTGGGAATAGAATGAATTTTGGGTAGCTGCTTAATCTGCCTCTAGAGTATGTGAACTCTTTGTTTCTACTCTTTTAAGTTCAATGAAACCATAACGATGGATTCATTTAGCAGACTGTGCCATCCTGGGCCCACTCTACTAGCTCCTCCCTACAGTATGGCCTAGGTTTTGACTTACTGGTGTCCCTTCTGGGTTTCTCACTGGGATAATCTCTTGTCTCTGAACCTACCTTTTCATATCATCCAATTTAGACTAGAGATGAGGAAGTGAATTTTCCCTGCTTGGTTACCTTCCTCCCTTCTTTTATTAATTCTTTTTTTAAAGGATTTTTTTTCTGTTCTCCTAAGATTGGCATCCTCATGGTACTCCCACTAAAAATCTCCTCCCAGACTACCTTTCTTTTTTCAATTGTGGTCCTGTACCCCTGGCAGAATTTTTCTGGCTTCTAGCTTATCTGAGATGATATCCATCATCAATAGATATTAGATACCTGTTTCTGTTTCAGCTATTGACTCCAGACACCTTCCTGTCCTTAGATTGATGATTGCCCCTCTCTTCCTCTTCCAGGGGAGATATTTGTTGAAATTCAGGTTCATAATTAGAAATATTTTTTAAATAGATACTAAATAATAACAGAGCCCTCTTCCCATGGGCTCTCCTTTTCCTACCAAATAAGGGTAGGTTCTAAATATAGAGTTTGAAGAGTTAAACTTTTTTTTTTTTTTTTTTTAGCAATTAGGGTTAAGTGACTTGCCCAGGGTCAAACAGCTAGTAAGTGTCAAGTGTTTGATCTATGGAGAGATTTGAACTCAGGTTCTCCTGACTTCAGGGCCGCTGCTCTTTCCACTGCACCACCGAGCTGCCCCAAGAATTAAACTTTTGACTTAAGATTCAACTATTGAAATATAACCCTAAGAAAATCAAAGAAAAAAAATAGGGTTTTATATATGCCAAAATATCTATAGCAACACTTTTGTGGTAGCAAAAAAAGACTGGATGGTCATGGATTGAGGAATGTCTGAACAAATTAATATGAATGATGAACATGAAGAATTCAGAGATACTTGGAAAGACTTGGATGAACTGATACAGAGCAAAGTAAACAGAAACAGGAGAACAATATATATATATGTGTATATATATATATACATACATATACATATATACATAAAATGACCACAAAAATGTAAATTAAAACAATTAAAAAAGGTAACTGAACTCAGAATAAGAGAATGACCATGGTGGGATCCAACGGTCAGGTGACTATGGAAGCTAAATGTGACAGGCATAGATGCACATGGCTGCCATATTTGATTGGTTTTGCTTGGCTGTTTCTCTTTGTTAAAAAATGGAGGGGTCAGGGAGCCGGGAGGAAGGGTTTATGCCATATAATTGCAATATAAAAATCATAAAGGCAGCATTAGAAAAAAGAATTCAAAGCATCCATCTCATTTCATAAATTTATTCAGTCGTTGTGGTGTGATTTTTGTATTTTTCTACTCTTCTTTTTAAAAGGACAATAGACTTTTAATTTATGTTTCCGTTCTTTACCTTAAGGTTATGTGATATCATGCCAAAATATCAATCAATTCATTCAAAACCACTGGTAAAACTGAGGATTTGAGGCCATGTACAATAAGAAACTGACTGATTGGCTTTTCTTCCTCTGACTCCTTACACACTTTTCCACTGGTTGAGTAGACATCAGGGGCACAACCACAGAATCTGAAGTATTCATTTTCTAAAATCAACTTCAAACATTCCTCCATATCTGGGTGATTTTTCCCCCCAGGGTACATCACATCAAAGAGGAGGGAGAAAAGAAAGCAACCAGAATTTTCAGGGTTTTGTGGCTTATACAAGATCTACCACTCCAGGGCTGAGCCTAAGGTTTTTTGCGGTCAGATAGTCCTACCATCTTATCCACCTAACTCCAAGGACTCCCCCTGGGATCTAGATTTGGAGATGACTCCACACGGCCTAGTTTTTCTTTCTAGAACTTCACAGAGCCTAAGACTACTAGACGGCAGTTTATTTATGTTGGAGTCCTAAGGGTGGTTCTGATGGAAAGCACGAAAACAGGTAGCTGTAATTTCAGCGCCTACTCCCCACCATAAGCAGCTCCCCAGACAGCTGCAATGGGCCACAACCAACTAGCTCTTTTGTCTTCCCTGCTGAAAGAAAGGCCTCGCCTTCAAAATGTCGCCCTTGACCTTGTTTTATATTTCCAATGTGCCTTTTATTAACTCCTTTTTCATATGGTACATATGGAGCCTTCCACTAGATGAGAAGAAGGCAAACTTTGCAATTCTGATGGGAAGAACAGCAGGGAGAAACAAGAAACAGGGTGGTGGACAATATTTGCAGCAGAACCATCCCTTGGGGTGATTTGAATCCAATTTGGGGACACAGGCTCTTGGTGCAGTGGATGCAAATGAAATTCAATTCTTTCAAGTCCCTTTAATTTGGGGGCAAAACCCCCAAACTATTTTTAACCATGCAATCAGAAGAAACAGAGAAGGGAAGTCATTTTGGCCAGAGGAGATGGGGGAGGATCCTATTCTATCAATAGCTTTTTACCTTTTTTCCTTAAAACAAACAAACAAAAAAGCAAATAAACCCCCAGACCTCTATAGATCACTTCAGTTGATCAAGAAAGATTTGTAGCACATTAAAAAAATTAAAAAATAAAAACCCACCTTGCATCCACTCTCATTTATTTCTGACAGCCAGATCCTTCATAGGACAACAGCAGGGAAAATAATTTCTGTCTATGAAACAATGATATACTGCTATTTTTCTTTTTTTCAAAACTAAAGTTATACTTTTCCCTCTCTCTCCAAGTGTGTGCCTGTAAGGAGGGGTGTCTATCTAATTGGCCACAAGAGGGGATTAAACCAAATAAAATCACTATGCACGGGGGGCCTCTAAATATGGCTTTTTAATTTGAAAATTTTTGTGGGTTACAGTGTAATTCAAGCTTTTCAAGCTTTATTAGTGAGTGGTTGTTTGTATGGTTTGCACGGCTGAAATCTATGAGAGGCTGCTAGGTTGGCCACTGTTGGTGCAGAATACTCTTACGCGCATAATACAGTTACTCTTCCTCTGTAGAATGCTTTGGGTGATGGAACCAAAAACCTTACCCTGAGTAAAACATTGATTAATAAAACGGGCAGGAGGGAGCAAAGGCCAGAATTTGTGTTGCAGGCCTGATGTGGTCCATTATTCTCTGCATATGAATAATCCCCATCCACATCTTCCAGTGAATAAGTGAGTGTACAGGGCCTGTGAAAAAGATGTTGCTAACCTATTTAAATAAATACCAGTGATTTCACATGTTTTTTGCAAACTTGGTTAAAACACACAACTGGGCATAATTAATTATTGCAAAAGGAAATGAACCAATGGCTCCCTCCCCCCCACCTCTCTCTCTTTCTCTCTCTCTCTCTCTCTCTCCCCTCCCTCCCTCTCCCTCCTTCCCTTCTCTCCTTTCTTTTTTCCTCCATTTTTCCTCTCTCCCTCCTTTCCTTCCTCCCTCTTCCTTCTTTCCTTCCTTCCTCCTCCTCCTCCTTCTTTCTCTCTCTCTCCCTCCCTTCTTTCTTTCCTTCCTTCCTTTATTCCTCCCTCCCTTTTTTCCTCTCTCCCTTTCCTCCCTTCCTCTTCTTCCTTTCTTTCTCTCCCTCTCCTTCCTTCTTTCCTACTT